ATTAATTTTCTGAAGGATTTGGGTAGTTGTATTTTGAGCAAGTTCACTTATTAAATTTTCAAACAAATATGAGCCCAGTTTCACCATAACTGGGGGGATACCAGGGACTTTTACATTATTATTCCCCATATTAAGGAGGATATGTTAAAAAACAAATGCAATGCAGGCCCTAAATGGCCTTGGTATGGCAGAGCAATAAGAATTCTAGTAAAATTCAGAGACTGAAATAAACTCTTACCTGTTATTTTTTAACCCCACTTAAGTTACTGTTGGGGAGTAATGTAGTATAAACGTATTGAAAATTCTAAAAGTATTTAAATATTAATATTTTCATCCAACAGTAATTTTTAAACAATAATTTAAATTTATGGCTATTAAAAAATAATGGTTTTAAAATTAACTAAATAAAAATGCCGTCATTGTAATTTTTGTATCGAATGGTTGCTGTTGCAAGACTGTATTTGAATTTCATTCATTCAGTCGACTCTCAAATTAAAAAAAAAATAAAAAAGTAAAGCAGGCAGTTCGTTGCAGTATGAAACATTGCACATTTTCACCTTTCTTTTATAATATTCTAAAAATGAGTAAATATATGAAAAAGTCTGAACAATTTTATATTGTGCCTAAAGGGGGCTTTTTTTTCCGTTCACATGCACTCGCTTCTAGAACATTTGGGCTAAAAGCATTTAAAAACAGCATATGTGTAGAATTTCCAATAGTCAGTCTCATGTGCTGGAGATAAAAATGTACCCCCCATACAATTTTGCCACTGTTAGCTTTGAAATAGTTGATTAATCAAAAACTTGTTAAAGTTTTACAAAATATGAAATATAATAGAAGGAGGGTGGGTTCTCAATTTCCTCCACTATCGGGGATTGAAACCCTACCTAACAAGCGGCATCTATGTTTGTAATATCAAAACATTTGCATTATTGCAGCAAAACGTACGTATTCTAAGCTGTTCCATACATGCATTTTCCAGTTTAAAGTAATAAAGATCATATCCATAATTTACTATGTATGCAAAATTATTAAGAAATAGTTTGAAGTATAAATGCATGTGTTTAACACTAAAGCCTTTAAAAAGTATGTTTCTGCATATTTCAAGGATTTGTTTAGGTTTTATTAGCAACCTGTTTGGTGTACTTTCTAGTTTTTACCTTAAGAAGTTATATTTCTGATTTATTCATAATATTATTATTTATTAAAGATTCATTTCATATACAAATGTTTAAGAGCTACAAAAGAAAGTTATTTTATTTTAGTATGCTTAATACTCCAGCTCTAAGTTGTAATACACTGAAACGGAAAATCACATATTTTTTATTGGCAGTTATCGAAATATCTAATTTCAAAAACACTGGTACTTGATGCAAATAGTATTTTATTTTTTTAAAGCATTTATTGGCATACTTTAAAAATTTAAATAATTCTTAATTTCAATTAAAAACACTGATTTTAACTTTTATCCATTCATCAATTTTTAGAAGTTTTTTTTGTGAAAACTTGAGGAAAGGGTTAAATTTCATTCAGCTACATTAAATGAAATAACTGCATGGAATCAGAAAATCTAAAATGTTAGACAAATAGAGATAAAAAGAAACAGTAAATAGATTTACATGATCATGTCAAAAGCGACAGCTAATTAAGGGATGGTGGATTTAGAAGGTTGCTCGGCTCAGTGCATCTCCAAGTTCCATTAAAAAAATTAAAAGCTTATTTTAATTCTATTCTAACTTATTTCTAATGCTTTCCTGATTACAAAATTTCTATATATAATGGGAAAATGTCTGTCTGATATTGAATTAAAAATAAAACAGCAAAAAAGCATGCAACAGCATGTCCATTCTTAAAATTACCACATAAATTCCTAATAGATTCTAAAGATGTTTGTTTATAAAAAATAAATTTTATTCAATTGTTCAAATATACCCTTGGCCATTTAAGTGAAAAAAAATGATGTTTTAAAGACAATTCAGAACAAAAATATAAAAAGGGAGTAAATTTCCTAATAATTTTACATACAAAATAAGCCTTCAGAAAAAAACAAAAATCATTAACTTTATAACATTCTCAAGCAAACTCATTTCCATTGATTTAGAAACATTTATAACACTTTCTTGTTCATAAAATTGTAAAAAGTCGAGGACATAAAAAATTGGCAAGTATTGTATTAAAGTATGTTTTTTTTTCTCTACTGCCCTTTGAATAAAATAGCTTTTGTGTATATCTGTTCAACAGATTCTGCAGCATCTATTTTATTATGTGCATCCATATGCAACACAAGATCCCATGCTTCGAAATTTAAAAAAATGTTGGAATGGCTGAATTCTTAACACAGGAGTAGTGACTTGGCCGCCAAGATTCACGTTTTGAGTTGAATTTTACTGGCTCCATATTCGGGTGGAGGACTACGGTGTTTAAAACTTGATGTCTCTAGGTGCCGTTGTTTTTTCACAATGTGAGAAACGTGCATACGTTCATGCAGATTCTTCATTATTCAATTTCTTTAAATAGAATACAGGGGGATAATATTTGGTGGCGACAATCTGAAAAGCTAAATGGAGATTTATAGCGATTCGACCCAAAATGGACCAGGGCTAACGCCCCTGTAGTGAACGCATTTTAGTTCAGGAGAAGTAGCGCTGCAGTAACTCTTCAACTCTCTCTTCCCCCCCCCCGTTACGTCAGTGGACAATCCGCCGTCGCACCTGTAAGCGCTTTTTGCTGTAAATAAAATACTTTTTATAGAAATGGATTAATGTTCATTTCATAGCTGCATCTAAGATCACAACTTGATGGCTAGAATTGTACGCCAGCCTACCTTTATTTCCTATTCTGTGGAATTTTAAGTTCCGTTTCATTTTGTGTTAAACCTACTATTGCATCGCTCTCAGTAGCGGAGACATCACCAGTAAAAATTCCAGTCTTCATTAATGCTGAACTTGCTTTGTGCTTTCTCACACGTAAAGCTGCTTTCGATATGGTTTCTATAACGAAATACAACTATTGTGTTTCTCATCTCACCTTATGCAGTATCCATGGTACGTGATATCATAAGACAGATCCTTATACCCAACAGAAGGAGCACATCATTCCAAGAAATGCGAAGAAAGGGCAATCTGCGAACGATTACTCATGTTATTCGAAGGTAAGTGCAAAGTATTATGTTAAAATTGATAATAGTATATTGCATGCTAATCCTAATAATGTATCTCCGACTGATGGAAACACAATTAATAATGCTAATTCTAATTATACTAAGGTTATGAATGATGATTGTATTATGATTACGAATGAAAAATGTATCCTCAACCCACCAATTTCTGATACTGGTGTAAATACTGTGACTACCCAATCCCCTATGCCTAAACGGCGGTCCAAAAAGTCAAGCAAACGCCCCATAATACAATATTTAAATGCTGATGACTTCACTTCGCCCAAAAGAACCGCCCCACTATCTAAGTTGATCAAAAGTAACTTTGAAATCCCTTTAAGCAATAAATTTGACAATTTACCCAAAGATGTTTCAGATACTAACGAAAATGTTATGGAAATAGAACTACCTTATTACAAAGAATTATGAACGATCAGTAGAGGTAGTCGTAAGATTCCGATAGATTGTCCTATTGCTGACATTCACGATGAACTGTTTAATTTAGGATGTAAAGTGAGGAAAATAACCCAAATGCACAGGCTAAAGACTAACGCGCCCATGCCAATATTCCAAATCCAACTTGAAAATGTTCCAGGGGTATAAAAAGTTTATGAAATCAAATACTTGTTACTTTTCTGTGTAGAATTTGTCGAATATAAAGTGAATGGAAGTGTTGTGCGGTGTTATAACTGCCAGCACTTCCATCACAATTCGGATACTTGCAAACTCAGACCGCGTTGCGTAAAGTGCGCTGGCGATCATAAGACTTCTGAATGCATAGCTAAGAGACTTGATGTAACAAAGTGCTGCAACTGTTTTGAAGAGGGATATACCGCCAATTTCAGGGGATGTTCCAAGTTCCCTATACCTATGTTAAATCTTCACTCCAATAATGACAAAAATGCAATTACGAAGCCCATAGAAACTAAATATTCTCAGGTCACTAATAGCATATCTTATGCAAATATTACCCAAAGAGGCAGCAAGGTTAATAGACTTTAAAACCAAGTAATTCTGACGTAAACAAAAATAATAGCAATAATTTTAACCTCAGCTCCCTGGTTGAAGCTCTCAAACTTCAAAGTAATCTGTTCAAAGGACTCTCACTAACTAATATAATTATGAAAATTTCTGCCAAAATACCAGAGATTCAATCAACGGAAAACCAAATCGACAAACCTTTCCTATTATTTAGCCTATTTGAAAAAATATTTATGCAAAGTAATGCCAGCGTATAATATGTCTTTTTAAAAACATATATGTTCTGTATCTTGTTGTCATTATTATGTATGTATCTTGACAAATAACCTATCATGTTCTCGGCTGGTTACTGGTTTTCACTCTTGTATATTGCCATAGCTTATGATTCTCACCCCATTTATTTCAGTAAACGTATTTCCCATCTTAAAAGAACAGTTATATTACCAGTGCCTTAATCCACAGTATTTAATTAATTCCCAATTTATATCTCATCGAATGCTTCTGTACTGCTTTATCTCTCATGAATCAAGATTCTCTCTTACAGCATTGCAAGTCACCAGCTCCAACAATTTCCCAGATGCTTTGGCATTTTCACCTCTCCACTGGTTTCATGCATACTTAATGTTTATACTAAATTTCTAGCAGCACTCCCAACCGCAAAATTTTTATCATTGTTTACATTATACTTTTCACTTTATGGCTTGCAAAATTAATAAATACCCAAATTGTTCGATAACGGTTAGGACCAAGGAGGTTAGAATATTCTAACCTCCTTGGTTAGGACCTTCGGCCCAGGTAACCTGGTGCTACAAGGTGCCCCCGTTGGAAAATTCGCGTTCGCTCACCGGGGCAGAAAGACTTAGAGGGTGCAAAACGAGACATCTCTGTCTACTTCTTCCTTTCTGCGTCTGCGGCATAGCAATGTTCAAAACTAAAGAAAACAACAGCAAGAAGAATATAACATTTGGAAGCGCGTTTTGTGAATGTTTTAGATAACTATAGAAAAGTTAAATTTGAAAGTGAAAGTATATTTTCGTTAAATATATTTCTGTAATTTAACTCTGAAGATGTGGAGCTGCATATTTTGTATAGGTTTACTTATGCAATGAAAAGAAGAAACAGGGCGAGACGTTTTCGAAAGTATTTGCTATTTCCGATGGTCATATTATAGTTTTAAAAATTTTCGAGTAGTTTAAAATCATGGCTCGATGTCTGACATTTACTTCTAAGAAGCTTGGTTGTAAAGTAAGTTATAAATGTGCCACCCTTAAATGACTGTGAATCACATTTCAGTGTTAGGATTCATCTGTTTATTCCGTAGGGTTACTTTAGATAACTTCTCGACCCTGCGAATTGGACGTGTGGGCTGCCTGCAGCATAAAATTGTATTTTCTACAAAAGCTTCAGACTATCTTAGAATTGATTACTCCAAATTGCTAGAGTTTAAAAATAACAAAGTTAGGCACTTATGTAATAGATTTTGGGCTAAAGTGCAGAATTCACCCACTTATTTGTTTGGCACTTTTTACAAGAGTAAGAAGAATTGGATTTTTGTCAATTATCTTTGACTTTTAATTAAGTGATGTCTTAATTAAAAGTCAAAGATAAACATCGACTTATTTTCGATTTTAAATAAAGATAAACATCGACTTTAAAGTCAAAGTCTTTGACGTTGACTTTAAGTGAAAATAAGTGGATATGTACATGGATAAATTCAAGGGAGTGCGGAATGCCATTTTTGTGCAATTCTGGAATGTTTTTTTAAATGGAAATAGGTCGACGTGTACATGGATACTGAGTATGTGCAATTCTTAAAAATGCACCAAGCAGTGTGCAATTCTGCACTTTCTCCAGATTTTGTACACCATCACACTCAAACAGTAACCAGCATAGTAAAATATACAATGCAGCATTTTTTTTAAGCATGTGAATTTTAAAATTCACAGAAACAACCAGTACTTTTCAATTGCAAGAGCATTGGCTTTCAGCCATAAGGCCAAACCTCATGTGTCTTTAATTATTAAAAAAAAAATTGCTCGTCTTTGGTGGTAAGTTTTTATCTCATCTATATTGTGCTCCTTCATGTTACTATCATTTTTAATTAATTCCAAAATTCTGTGGTCCTTTAAAACTGAGATGATGCACAAGATGCGAAAACAGCAATACAATTTTGGGGAATGTGCAGAATTCCCCACCGCTTGGTGTGTGTTTAAGTGCACATACTCGGTAGACCTATTTTCACTTAAAAAGTCAAAGAAAATTGACAAAAATCCAATTTTTCTTACTCTTGTAAAAAGCGCCAAACAAATAAGGGGCGATTCTGTACTTTAGCCACTTAATGTATTACTGTAAGCATCATAAACACAAACCACCAAATTATGGCAACCATGTGCATAATGATTCTTCAGTTTTAACAAGTATTTTTATATGCATTCTTTTTCACTGTATTGCAAGATCCAATGACTGTTATAGACAAAATGTCTTATCTTTTGCTTTGCATTTAATTTTAAAATATGAGTTTGTCAGTTTTAGCTATAATGGTGGGAAACTGGGGTAAAACTTCTGCAGTAACACAGTATTTTGAGCAAAATTACTAAAAGGAAAAAGTGCTTTGAATCTATCTTTAAAGAGATTCCTATGAAATTTAAACAATAAAAGAAACACCCGTTTATACCCGTCTGTTATAAGTAGATTTATCAATTGATTTTCAGGGTAAATACTTAATTTTTTCTTCATGGCAATGAATTTTAGGATCCTGTGATTTACTAAGAGATGAAAAAGTGGTTATGTTTCTTCAAGAGATATTCTTCCCAAGAAAGACTGTATTTGACCGTAACGCCAATAAAAAAAAGTAGGCGATTCTGCACTTTAGCCACGATTTTTTTTAAAATTCTAAATCGGAACCTTTTTATTGAGGAGGAAATAATGTACTGCAAGTCAGAGTAAATGATAGTAATTACATTATATGTTCTTTGCGTTTCCTTTTATATGCTTTTCTTCTAAAAAGAAAAAAAGAAACAAGACAAACTTTTCCATTAACCCAATAGAAATTTTTGTTTATTCGTACAGATTTACTATTTCTTCACATTGATATCATTTTATTATAATACTGTTTACTTCCTTATGCAACTTTAATTTAACCAAATGTTCATTTTTCTTTCACACTCTTTGTGATTGTTTTCGACCATTTTAAGCTTAATCATTGTGATTAAGCTTAAAATTACTAGAACTACTCTTGTAATTTTGATTGATTAATCATTGTGAGTAATTTTTTATAATTTTATTATTGTATAAACGTTCATGCCATTGTATTATATTTTTTAACGTATCATAATAATTCTATTCAAAAAAGATTCCCAGAAGATCGAATTTGTTACTAATCCTAAGAAATTACTATAGACATTGCTAAGATCAATACAGTGACAAAATATTGTCATGTGTGTTTAAAAAATATAAACCTTTTAAAAGCATATTCTTCTTTATAATTAATTTAATTATTTAAATTCAATGAAATTTATTCCTCTAAATTTTACTGTCCCTGATATTTATCATGTTTAATTTCAGCACATGTGCAAGTCTACTACATCTAGTGCCTTAGATTTTAGTCAATATAAATTATTACCTACACATTACAATGTTGTATAAAGCACTTCACGTGTTTTAAGTTATCTGAACTGTAATGTGATTGTTTCATACTGCTTATCAGAATTAAAGGATAATGAAAAAAAGTATTCTTTCTGGTATGAAAAGTTTTAGCCCACATTGGAGGATCTAATTATTCGGTTTACTGGAAAGTTCTGTTTGTTTCTACAACAACAGTTTTTGACACGTAAGCACATATTTATTTGGCGCATGTTCGGCTCTCTATTTTTATCACTTAATCTATACATACTGACAGCAAATTTACTCTAACAAAGTTGATTCATATTAGTTTTAACTGTGAAGTGATAGTGTACTCATGGCTACTGATGAAGTTTATTTTACGCCACTGTATTTTATATGAATTTCAACAAGGAAGAAATGCTAAAGAAGCATGTAGAAATATTTATTGAAAATGTTTGGTGAAGGTACAGTTTTTAATAGGACATGCACATGATGGTTAGAAAAATTTGAAACTGGTGATTGGACTTTTCTGATAAGCCACGTTCTGGGTGACTATCTGTGATTGATGATGTCGTTAAGACAGTGTTGAAGCTAGATCTTTTTCTGACAACATCGGAGATCGCAGGGAGGTTAAATTCAGCTCAACAAGCCATTTCGGACCATATTTGGAAGATAGTATTGATGTGGAAATATTCAAGATGGGTGCCACATTAAGTTAGAAGAATTTGGATTATCGAGTCATCATATGCACAAAATCGAACCCTTCTTGAACCAGATAACTGGGGATGAAAAGTGGATTACCTGCGAAAACATCATTAGTAAAAGGGCATATTGTGAATCCGGAAAACCTAGCCCTTCCATCTCTAAACTGAATTTGACTCTGAATAAGAGAATGTTGTGTATATAATGGGACATTTGAGGACCAATACATTATGAGCTTTGAAAACTGAATGAAACACTCGATTCGGAGAAGTATTGTCAGCAACTGGATAATTTAAAGACAGCAGCTCAAGAAAAGAGTATGGCGTTGTTCATTAGGAAGGACATCATACTGCATCATGATCAGGCCATGCCACATGCTGCTTTGGGAACTCGTCAAAAAAATTGCAGAACTAGGCTGGGAAATTCTGTTGCATCCACCATATTCCCCGTACTTAGCACCCTCCGACTATCTCTTGTTTTTGTCCTTACAAAATTTCATGAAAGGCAAAAAATTCAGAAATGAAGAAGATATCAAACAAGGACTGGTTCAATTTTTCGCATCAAAAGATACAACATTTTTCAGAAATGGGATATTCAAATTGCCCTCACGCTGGCGAGAAGTTATTAATAATAATGGCAATTAAATTATTTAATAAAATTTATTGATGGTAAGAAAAATTTGTATTTTGTTTTCTTCCAAAAGCAGAAAGAACTTTCTGGTAGACCAAATATTTATGGTAATTGGATTACATACAAAGCTAATTGGTTTACATAGATTAATGCAAGAGATATGCAAATATGGCAACTATATATTGTCCAACGGATAGATGTTAGAATTTGGGGGGGGGGTGTAAACTTTATTTAAAGTTAATTTGTAAGAGCAATCAGTATTCATTAATTATGACTCAGACATCATCAAAGTGAGAAACGAAAGTAGTCGTTGATTGGTAGATAGTAGGGGAGGGCCAAATACTATTGGAGGTTCTTCAGAACCTGAATGTAATGTAAACTGTCATGCTAAAGATTAGGACTGCTTTTAAAGCTGGCAAAAAAAAAAAGGAAAATTTTTTCCTATCTCTTTTTTTTTTTTTTTTTCGGTATGTGTAAGGGGGAAGGTGCCTTAGGCTGCCAAATACTTTCTCAAATCCTCCAGAATCCGAAAAATAGACTTTTGAAAAAATGGCATGCAAATCGTCGACTTGATTAGTAGTTTGGTAAATTTTTTGAAAACAATATGTGAGATTTTATTTCTATCTTAGGTGACATCTAACATATTAAAGGAAATTTTGGGTACTTCTTTGTTATCTTCTCCCTGAGATTGAATCCCCAATCAGCTGAGATGTTTCTCCAAAATCTGACTACTTTATCTTATACCTCACCATGTGGTTGTATGTTAGCATCAACTGCATGTTTTTATGCCTCACCATTTAATTGTATATTAGCACTGTGTTGCGTTTTTGGTCTGGGAGTCTGTTTTGATATTATTCATTTTTGATGCGATTTTCAAATTCACATTGTTTATTTTTCATCCCCCCCATTAATTTAAGGTTAACAATCTTTAATTTACCAAGTAATGAGGTGGATGCCATACAATTTTTTTAAGAGAGAGGTCTTTTACCTGACAAACGAGTGTGCGGAAATGACGACAGCATGAAATATACGATGAAACCAAATGGTGGTGCAATGTTAAAAATTGCAAAAAGAAGGGCCTCCATGTTAGAAATTGGTTCAGAAGTTTCTGAATATCATTTGTCACTGCTATTAAATTTATGTATTCTTGGGCAGAAGATTTATGTCCATGAAATGGTGTAACAAACATGTGAAAGTGCTGCAGTTGAATGAAACACTTACGTGTGATAAAATAACAATAAGAATGATTCTTAAAAAAATTCTTACGAAATGATATGTGAGTATTGTTAATTATTATATTATGCTGTTTCTTTTTCCATTTATGCTTTACAAACTTGGCGAAATTATAGCTGATATCTTGCCGCAAATCTGTAATCACCAAATATGGTTGGAGGTCACTATAACAAAGAAATACCAAATTTCAAAACAAATGAGTTCACTTCTCCATCATTTTAAAATTTCTATAAATTTAACTTTGAATTCAATATAATGAGATTAATTAACTGGCACACATCGTTAAGTTATGCTAAATAATTCATTTGAACAAATATTTTGGTATTTTTATATTATCAGGACCAGATGCAGATATGCATGTATGTGCTTGTATGTACCGTAATTTCCGGAAGAAACGCCGCGGCGTTTACGTGTTTAAAACTTAAATTTTCAGCGGGTGCGGCGTTTAGGTGGACTAAAAATAAAATATTTCCTTTGATGGTCATTGTACATAGTTTGGATGGCCTTGTCATTGTGCATAGACTGGTGCTGTTCCCACACAAAAGACCACTCAGTTGCTTTTTGCGAACATTATTTTGTTTACATTCTTTCCCTTGAACAGACCTACATGCCGTATTCACCCTAAACGAGATCTCAGAACAATAACATTCTTCCCACTTTCAAATCAACATTCTCATCAGTTTGAATAGTCACTCTTCTCTGCCATTCAATGAATCTTCCAGGACCCATCCTCTCCCCACCCCTGCCTTTTCTGCAATTTTTTTCAAAGGCAGACACGACTCCACCTGCCTCGAAATAACGAACTCTGATGTATTTCCCCTTCAGCATGAATGAATTTTTCTTGGCATTCTGCCAAATACAGATCCCATCAGTTTGGGTACAAGTACTTGTTGGATAGTTTTTAATTAGGGAGCGGAAAATTTTTGAAAATGTCTCTAAACAACACAGAAGCTATACATTTCTTACCTTTAATTTATTTTTGAGTTATGGTTTCATTTCATGCATTTTTCTTAACTGGTATGTCATATATCAGGACTTAGGTTGAGTTTTTGCATGTATACGGCCCACGACGATGTCATGCGCAATTTAATCTATTGTGGCGTTTACACTGATGCAGCGTTTCTGAGTAATTTTAATTTTTTTCCCGCCATTTTTCTCGAGTGCGGCGTTTACGCTGATGCGGCCTTTCTTCCGGAAATTACGGTACATATGTATCTATGTGTATACACGTACTTACATACATTTCTGGATCCTGTTTTGATAACAAAAAAGGACAAATTATTTTTTATCATTTTTCAATAAATTACATTTCACTGTATCTACGAGGGCCATCCAGGAAGTAGATTACGTTTCCGTCTGTGTCCGCTAGGGGCGGGGCTAGCGCGGCCATCTTGGGGTCAGAGCGTTGCGCAGCTCAGTCTGCATCTAGCCGTGCTAGTGAGAGGTTCGTGCTGTGCTCCGTTCAGATACTGTGACGGTTTGAAATGTCTGCGTTAATTGAAAATCCTGCGAGGTGCGCTCAGTAATAAGGTTTCTGACTGCAAAAAACTGTAAACCGATAGAAATCTATCGGCAGCTTCGTGAAGTGTATGGGGACAACATTATCACTGAAGGTGGAGTGCGTCAGTGGGTCATAAGATTTCAAAATGGCCGAACCAATGTTCACGACGAAGATCGAAGTGGGAGACCCAGCATAGTGACCGCCGAACTTCTCGAAAAAGTCGATGCTAAAGTCCGTGAAAATCGAAATTTCACAATAACGGAACTTTCTTTGAGTTTTCCACAAATTTCGCGAAGTTTGTTGCACGAAATCATCAGCGAAAAGCTTGGTTACCACAAGTTTTGTGCAAGATGGAAGGCAAGAAGAGGTAACGAAGTGGTTTGAAGGCGCAGGCGGCCGAATTTTTCAACGAAGGAATTTCCAAGCTCGTACATCGCTACGATAAATGCCTTAATTTGTATGGTGACTATGTAGAAAAGTAGTATTTGAGTGTGGCTTTCATCTGTATATAATAAAATTTGTTTCCTATACTTTGTTTATTTTTTTATTCCAAAACGTAATCTACTTTCTGGATAGCCCTCGTATATCCTTTTATTTTGATCTGCAGTGAAAGAGAATATCGCATTTCTTTATTTTATAATACACTGCTGGCTATTAAATGTGCAACACCATGAAGGGAAGCAAATGCAAAAAAGATATTAATTGTATGTAAACAGTGGGACATAAAGACAAACTGATTAAATTTGTAGCAGTTTGGGCTTTACCAGTGGTGCAAAATTAGTAGAAACAGCTGTCACACCTGGCAGCTAAAATGGCCCTACCCATTTAGGCATGAAGTTGAACTGGGCTTGGATGACAGAAACAGGCAACTCATTCCATGCTGCTTCAACTTTATTCCACACTTTATCAATCGTATTAGCTGGATAGGGAAGGCAGGCTGGTCTCTCAGAAACCCATGACCGGACATTTTCATAGAGTGACAGATCTTGAGACCGTGCAGTAGAGGGTAGCAGTTGGATACCCTGTGTATTGAAGGTCAGAACACGGCGTGCAACATGTGGTCTTGCATTATCTTATTCGAAGATTGCGTTTGGCAGGCCTTGAAGATGGGGCACAACTGGATACAAGATATCCGAAATGTACCGATCTGCATTAATATTGTGATCAATCCTAACTAGAGATGTGCGTGTCATGTACCCAATATCTATCCAAACCATCACACCAGGTGCAGGGCCTCTATGCTGATATCGAGTGCAAGCAGGCAATGTGTGGTCTCCTCGGATCCTCCAGACACGTATACGGCCATAAAAATACAACATGCAGAGCCAGGACTCTTCTGAAAAGAAAATATTTTGCCACTTCTGTATCCAGCTTTGTGGTCCAGCGCACCAGAGTCACTGTCTCTCTCTATGCTGCATTGTCAAGGGAAGCTGAAGTAATGGTCGCAGTGCTGATGGTCCATGCTGCTCCAAATGGTGACGTACTAAACGAGCGGATACTGGACATGCTGCAAGCATGCCCATTTCCTGATAAATGGTATGTGATATGGTTATACGGTTTTGCAGGGCTGACCTCACAATGTCTCTTTCCTCTAGGACAATATTTACAGGAGGGCATTGAAATCCTGCATGCCATTCAGTATGACCCTTAGCAACCCATTGATTCCATATTCACATGAGAATGATTGGATGTCAACCAGAGCAATGGCCGATATCACAGAAAGATAATCCACACTTTTGATAGGCAACGGCCTTGCCTCTATCAAATTCAGACAGTTGCTGGTAAGCCTTTCTTCTTATTTGAGGCATAACACAATATTCTGAGCAAACTCCAACCTTACAATGCTTTCTGAATGAGAAACCATTATGCAACGTTTCTTCTATTCGGTATTTCAGAAGTCGTTTCTCTCTTCTGCGTTATCCAATGCGCTGAAATACTAATTATTTGCATAGCGCAACCTCTTCTTTCTTTCATGTAATTTTGATGTTCGTCAGATCATTCCTTCCTGATGTTGCAATTTTAATGGCCAGCAGTGTACATTATAAGTTTAAAAGTGATTAAACATTAAATTATGCTGTAATAAACAACCCTATATGCAGATTTAAGCTCTGAAGCAGTAGTTCTCAATCTGTTTTGCCCTATGCACCGTTTTCGCCACTACTAGAAGATCATTCCTTCCATTCTTTTCCAATACTCGAAAAATACATATATACATTTATGTAGATTTAGATTGTTTTTAATGTGTTTTGTAAACAAAAATATGAAAAGTGTTGATAAATACCAGAATTAAGTACTAATACTGAAAAAAAAAAAAAAAAAAAAAAACAGCTAAATAAAAGCCTGAGTGAACTTCCCCTTAAAGCTCTTAAATTCTCCCCCTAAGAACCCCTTCTCAAAGGTTTTAAAAATAACTGCTATATTCCATCATGCAGCAGATTTAAGCTCTGAAGAAGTGGTTTTCAACCTGTTTTGCCCTATGTACCGCTTTCACCATTGCTAGAGAAAGATCATCATTCCTTTCCAAAACTAAAAATATACATTTATTTAGTAGATTATTTTTAATGTGTTTTATAAAAAATGTTGATAAGTACTAGAACTTGACTAAGTACTAATACTGGCAAAAAACTAAATACTAACAGCTAAATAAAAAGGCTGACTGAATTTCCCCCTAAAGCTCTGAAATTCTCTCCCAAAGAACCACTTCTCAAAGGTATTAAAAAAAATTACTATATTCCATCAAGTCAACCATTTAATAGTTTTGAACTTATCACTCATTTAACTACTATCAACTTGAATGTTTACCTAAAATCACTAACCATAACCTGAAATGAAGATTGATTTTTTTCCCCCCTTACTGACCGTCTTCAAGAAAATGTATTTGTTAAAATAAATTGCTAAATATTTTTAGATGTTAATGATATTAAGCGCATATATTTACAATAAAATAAAAATTAATTGTACTTAGGTTTTTGGATCTGTATTGAAATTGTTTCAATTTTATATTAATACTGCTTGTTTTGTATAATAATACTTTCAACAGGAAATAGCAGAAGTGGGTATAGCTCTAGAAGGTAACGAATCGGAATCCTCAGGAAGTGAGAATGAAGTTGATCATATATTGGACATGTTAGGATACGGGAATATTCATGAAGTTGTAAGTAAAATTTTCTTTCAGAGCAATTATATGTAACATGAATACAAGCCAGTTTATCTTAGAAATTCTTCCATGAAGGCATATCCCTTTCTAGGCAGATAACCTTCGTTTGCTTTACCATATTCACATAACTTAACCTTTCAGAAGGATATATTTTTTATTTGCTGTCATATTTCAAAGTGAGAAATGGCAAAAATTATTTGAGTTTTATTATTATGTTTTAAGATTGGCTACTTTACGAGAAACAGCTTTTAAGAATGTGAAAATTGCATTTTCACATATGGAAGAACCACATAAATTCCTGTGTACTGTTACTGTTTCTATTTTTCGGTTACTGAATAAGGCATAACTGTTGATTGTTGACTTTGCTGTTCACCTATTGGTGAACTTTTGTAAGGAATGAAAGAATTTGCTTTTTGTATATTTTAAATTTATTTCAGTTTTTGATATATACATAAGATTCATTTTAGTTGAAAAAAGGTAAGGCTCATGATTTATTAGCATGTACAGTGATGCTTGCTATTATTGATGGCTCCTCCTTCTTACTAATCCCTCTGATCTGAATTAGATCAGATCCATAAGTTCATTTGCCTTCATAACTTCCAACACTAAATTAGGTCTCTTCGCAGATCTTCATGCACCAAGGCAACACAACTTAGTAAATGTTGCACAGTAGCTTCATGGTTTTTTACATTTGGCACAAGTGGGAAAAGTTTTAGTACCATGGAAATATCTGAGGATTCTTAAATGTCCCAAAATCAAGCAAGCCAGAGCCATTTAAGCCTTCCTGAAACCCTTGAAACCAACGGCAGTACCAGGACCTATACTATAATATCATGAGTATGTCGATAGCTACCTCCAAGAATTGTTAATTAACCCTTTGAGCATTATGACCGGTTTTATCCGGTCATCAGAAGTTTTGCTACTTGGCATACATTAGATTATAATTTAAGATATTTTGCTTTCTTAGTTTCTTTAATAATGTAAATATCATCTTAATGAATGTAAGTTTTTGAAAATACAGACTAAAATAAGTAATACAAACTCAATTAATAAATGCTGTTTAAATACCGGTCTTCATGACGATCTCTTTAAATGCCGGTCTTCATGACGATCTCTTTAAATGCCGGTCTTCATGATGGATCTAAAATCCTGTGCTGCTGAGAGGGTTAAGCCTTTCTTCTTGAGTATAGTTCAATGTATGTCTAAAGTTCAGCATAAACCGGAGCCACAGAAGTAGCCTACTTTGCTAGTCTATCAACTACATCGTTATATTTCAGATTTACATGAGATCCATTGTAGATGGAGGATAGAAGAATGGGACAAGGTCTTGAGTTTTTCAATAATTTTAATACCTCTCAGGTCTCTAATATTTCTGTAGTTATCTAGGTATTGGATTACACTTCGGCTCTTCATAAGGATCCAGGTTTCCCTTGATAAACATCACTCTAAAACCAAATCCAAATAAAAAGTCCAAAGCCAAATCAATAGCAATCAAGTCAAAGCTGAAAATGAAACAAAAATTGGTATTTCTGTGCTTGAGAGTTATTTATTCAATTCCAGATTTAATAAAAGCCCTGCTACCAAATTCTGTATATGTTCATTCTTGCCGTTTGTATATATCAGAACTGTCTCAACAAGTACAGTCAAAAGTCTTTAATCCGGACTCGTCGGGACTTCGGCGATTCCGGATTATAGATCATCAGTTTAAATCTGGTAAGATGGCATGCAGAAATTATAAAATTAAAAATATGAAACCGTAATTTATGAAATAAAGATCTATTATGATCTAAAGGGTATCAAAATTTACAAAAAAAAAAGCTTAATATTTATTTGTTTACTTTATTAAACATTTCTTTCAACGCGCGCATGCGTAAAGCATACATTACGCATAGTCGAAATTAGAAGAATGCAACCAGAAAACTATTTGATGTTTATTCGTGATATTTATAATGACGAGGAATTTTATTTTTAATCATATCAAAGATGGAGTACATCAAGATGAAATACTACATTTAGTAAGGAATTATTTATAAGCCGAATAAAAATAAAAAAATCTGCCCTGAAGATATGCTGACACATCAACCTCCAGTTCATTGCGTGCTGCATCGCCCCCCCCCCCAGCAGAGCAGCGTGCAATTGATAAACATATTTTGGAATGGTTAGAGAATCAAAGGATATGCCTTTATCCATTTTTTGCAGCAATTCCACTTTTTGTTTGATGGACATCGAAACATGCTTTCACTTTGTACATCCTTTGGTAGCTCCACAGGGTTCGTAGCGGTCCTTATAAGTGCTTATAAGTCCTTATATTTGAAAATAAAATATAAAGGCCCTTATAGGTGCTTACTTCTTCTGTAAAGCCCCCCACCCCCTCTTTTTTTTTTTTTTTTTTTTTTTTTTTAGTACTTGTTTTTTGCTTTTGATTTAGTGCCTTTGGACATGCTATTTTTCCCCATACCAAAGCCGAAACTAAATAAACAACTTTTCCTAATATGGAATGGAATGTCAGATGGTGAATCATACTCCCGGAAATAGCTTTTCTCCTTTTCTCTGTATTAACATAACCTTTGGTGTGCACGAAGAGTAGAGGCAGGTGCCCGTCGTTCTATTGGTCAAAGAATTGCGAAAGAAGTAGAAAATTCCAGTATATTCAGCATTTTTTTTCCTCCCACCCAAGTACTACACACGTTTGAATTTCTATCAAGATCTTAATAATTTGCATTCTCGTTCTGCTTGGTCAGTTCATATTCGTGTTTATTATGATTATTATGCTTATATTATGAGCATATGTATGAATGTTTATAATAACATAGTTGCAGAAACTGCTGAAGTATAGTAAACTTCCAAAATGGTTGTGTTTTAACACAGAATAGCTTTCTAAGGAATAAGATTCGGAAATTCTAAGGAATAAGATTCGGAAATGCTTAAATAAAGGAAAAGTAATCGAAAAGTCAAAATAATTTCATTTTTTTGGCCAATACATTATACAGTACGAAGATTGGGAGTTTCTTCCCTTTCTCTGCAAAATTTCGAATATTGAAACTGATACAGTTCGCTGCAAAACAAGCAACAGACTTTTTTTTTTCCCCCTCCACTTTCCAATCTGGATTGAATAGGCCTAAAAGTTCTGCGGTCTACCAACCAAAGCGAAGAATGATTCTATTCCGGAAATTTAACGCCGTCTGTTGAAAATTAGAATGAAAAACACCCCATATTGGTAAATCTTTTTATTAATCAATATAAGTTATTTAGTGAGGAGCGCGACGTGTTTTTATTCTCCCATGGGCGCATACCGGCAGCTGTTGATTCCGATTGCATAATATCACGTAGGGAAGAATTACGACACACGTATTGCACAATAACGTTTCGATATTTTGCAGAGATAATTAATTTTGATGTTCTGTCCGAGATTTGTTTATGAACACTTAAAAGAGTTTTACTGTGCTTGCTAAGCAGAATATTTTTCAGTTCCATTGGTTTATTTTTATATGATGCACATATCGAAATGTCAAAACATTTATTTAGCGGAAAAATCTAAAGAGCGGCTATAGTCTCCCCCTCCTCCGCTCCTCTTTTTCAAATTACGCTCGATTATCCGAATATTCGCCAATTTCCAAGTATGCAGGTTAGTTAAGCTTTTACTGTTAAAGGATGACTGCATGAAGCAAATTTCTGTCTTCTGATTTCAGAAATGTTCCTCTTTTTTACTTAAATTACTTTGCTTGCAATATCTGTTAAGGGAAAACTGATATACAATGAAAATTTAAAAAATGTTCAGAATTTAGATTTAAATTATTTAAATATCAATATGAGTGGAAAAATAACTTGTATTTATTATTAGGTTCCAAGTGAATACAATAAATATGCCTTATTATTATTTATTTTCTCTATTTTGAACTGAAATTTCAGCATTAAATCTTCTAATATAGTTTAGTTCTGCATAGTTTTTTTTTCCCTCTCACTGTAAACTAGTTCTGTAAATTGAACTGTTATTTAAAATTTGAAAAAAAAGAAAGTAATTATTTTCCATGGTTGAGGTAATGCTTTTATTCTCTCTTAATAAATACTACATTTCTCATATTTTAATCATATAGTCTAATTTTTAAGGTTATGCAGTTGTGTATAATGTAATGAGACAGGTGCTTATTTTTTTTCTTAAAATGTGCTTGAAAAGTGCTTATAGGTGCTTATTTTTTTTAACTAATATGTGGCTATGAACCCTGCTCTAGAATCGGAAATTTTTTTGACATAATCGAAAGTTCAAGCTTACTTTTATAAAATTGTCTGCAAAAAATAATAACAGTCTGCAAAACATAACAGTCTACAAAACATAATAACAGTCTGCAAAAAATAATAAGCCAGATTCAGTTAGAAGATTAAGGAACAACGCGATCTCCAACATTAACTGAAGTAGATAATTTTAGCTTAGCTTATACCGTCCATTATACATTAAACGCGCATGCGTAAACGTATTATGAGCATGCATTAACGCATTATGCGTTGACACATGCGCAGAAAGTTTGTAGCTTTGAGGTCCGGATTATGGACGTCCGGATTAAAGACTTTTGACTGTATTCTATTAATCACTTCAATAGCAACCTGTCTTAAGTATTCAGGATGAGAGGACTATAAGTAATAGTCAATAATTTTGTGTGAAAAACACATCAGACAGTTAGTCTGTTCGAGAGTAGAACTTAATCACACAAATATTCACGGAATTCACAAATAAATTTAATGGATTGTAGAATTTTTACTATTACATCTGTTAACAGAATTATACACACATACATGAGAACTTAGGTATTCTATTTGGATAGACATTCTTCCCATCCACACCTTAACATATATCAGAAACTTGAATTACTAGCTCACCCTCAATTGCGGCTAGCTTTCCACAGTGTTCATTTTCACTCGTGGTTGCCAGATCACTCCAGTTAAACAATACTCTCATTAGATCCTGGCGGCACTTCGCTTCTGTGTTAATTTGCTGCCCTGGT